GGGCGATCTGCTCGTACTGGCGCCGGACCTCCTCGATGATGCTGTCCAGGTCCAGGTGCCGGTTGTTGTCCATGGACACCACCACGGACAGGTCCCGGCTGATGCTCTGCATCTGGGACAGCTCCTGGGGGCAGCCCGGGGATCAGAGGGGACAGGGAAGAGCAGCAGCAGCAGCTCCACCCCCAAACCTGCCCGAACTCCCAGCCCCGTCCTCGGTGTCCTCGGCCGCCACACCCTCACCAAAACATCGCCCCGGGGGGAGGGAGGGCTCCTACCTCCTCGTAGATGCACCTCAGGAAGTTGATCTCGTCGGTCAGAGCTCCCACCTTGGCCTCCAGCTCCACTTTGGCCATGTAGGCACAGTCCACGTCCTGAGGGAGAGATCCCACCAGTGACCCACACCTTCCCCCTGTCCCGGGAAGGCGGTGGCACCCCAAGGAGATGGTGACATCCCCACGGAGCTGGGGGCACCCAGGGGAGCTGGTAACATCCCCAGGGAGCTGATGGCACCCAATTGCTCCCGTTCCCCCCTCCACTCACCTTCTTCAGTACCACGAACTCATTCTCGGCCGCCGTGCGCCGGTTGATCTCCTCCTCGTACCTGGGGGGGCACAGGGCAGGGGTGGCACCCTCAGCACCCTCATTCTTCACCTCACAGGGGTCTCCTGGGCTGTCCCAGCTCCCCTGGGTGGTCCCACCCCATTAGCCCCCCCCCCTCCCCAGGGCACTCACTTGCTCTTGAACTCCTCCACGTACTGCCGCATGTTCTGCAGCTCCGACTCCAGCTGCCCCCGCTGCCCCAGCAGGTTCTCCAGCTGCCTCCTCAGGTTCTGGATGTAGCTCTCAAAGATCACCGTCAGGTCCTTCCTGGGCCCTGACGGCCCCTGCTGCTGCAGCAGCTCCCACTTGGTGGACAGGACCTTGTTCTGCTGCTCCAGGAACCGCACCTGAACGCGACCACCAGGGCGTGTCAGACATTCCCGGCGGGATTATCCCAATTTTCCAGCCTCCTGAGAGCTCTGGGAGCCCGAGGGACTCATTCCCCAAACCCTCACCTACCGCTCATTCGGGCGCCCAGGTTGCTCAAGCGCGTGAGAAGCGTTATTAAAATCATTACTCATTAAACAATTAAACTTTGAGTCATCCTGGACTTCTCCCTTTGGGACTCGGAGGTGTCGGCAGAGGAAACCTCGTCCCAGTTTTCCACCAGGGTTGGGCTTTGCCCTCGACTTTCCAGCAGTGAAGCCAAAGAGGGTTTTCATTCCCCACCTGCCCCAGAGATCCCCTCGGGAAGGGGTTTTGCTACTCCCCCAGTCCCTATTTGAGGTGGGAACGAATCCCAGAGAGGTGTTTTTAACGCTCTGAAGTGCCCAGGGTCGGGCTTGGAGGAGAAAATCTCGCTCCAGAGCAGAGCCCAGCGGGGAGAACTCTCAGGGCAACCGAATTTACGGCGATGACTTTGCCCTGAATCGCCAGAGAAGGCCCTGCAGATGTTCCCTTTCATCCTCCACCGGCACGAAACCTCCTCTGCCGCTCGTTAAAACCCGGCTAATTACAACTTGCGGCTCTGGGAACTCCAACTCTTGTTGGGAAGCCAAAAAAAAAAAAATAATCCCCCATTCCACAGCCCGGGGAAGCCGCTTGAGATGCCTCCTCCTCAGGAAGGAATAAAGAAAGGAAGAAAGAAAGAAAGAAAGGAAGAAAAACTCGGCCTAGAGCCTCACCTTGTCGATGAAGGAGGCGAACTGGTTGTTGAGGGTCTTGATCTGCTCCTTCTCCTGGGTTTTCACCTGCTGGATCTGGGGGTCGATCTCCACGTGGACGGGCCGGAGCAGGCTGGGATCCACCTGAACGGGCTGGATCCCTCCGGGGAAGCCGGCGCCGCCGAAACCACCCATTCCACCGCCTATGCCGCCGCCAAAGCCCCCCATCCCTCCTCCACCGCCGCCCATGCCCCCTCCAAAGCCCCCCATGCCTCCACCCAGGCCCCCCATGCCCATCCCGCC